ATCAGATAGAGGACATAATAGACCCAAAAAAACACCACCTCGAACGTGAAATTTAAAATAAAGTTTACACTATCTCGGACAAAAAACTTTCGTTACAGCCCCCCAATGTCCGGCACCTACTCAGGTCCCTGAATAGACCAGATATGGTGAAAAAATCAACCCCGTACTTGCGCATTTCGATATATATGAATAAATTTGTTGAAACTGAAAACAATAGAATAACAATAATAAATCAGGTATTTATCTGTAGTTAGATATTTCAAGTTTTATAAACGCACATACAAAAATAAAACTGGGTGCTTGTCAGATGTTTTAGGGCAAAAGTACGTGGTTATATTTTACGACTAACACTCGAAATCTGTTACTGTGCCAAAATCCCTAAAGATGTATCTCTGTTATGTTGAGTGGCAGATTATGGTACTTTTTTAACTGAGGATGATGCGTTGTTCTCTTCTCATCTAGCTGTTGTATATTGCTTATTATGTTTCATGGTTAACGTAAATAACATTGTGTAACGGTGGGATGGGTATTTTCACCAGAAATATATAAACTTCGTCCAGTATAATAATATAATTGTAGAAAAAACAATCTTAATCATGAAACATGATAAGCAATATACAACAGCTAGATGAGAAGAGAACAGATGTTAGTCATGAAATAAAATCACATACTTTTACCATAAAACATCTAACAACTACCCAGTTTTATCTTTCTATGTGCGCAAAATAACAATAATCATAGGAGCTGGAATATTTGACTACAACACACAGAAAAATATTCGATTTCTTATTATTATTCGATTGTTTTCATTTTCAAAAAACTTATTCGTAACTATATAACACAAAAGTGCATCCAACCTTCATTGATTGATGTTATAAGTCGTATAATGGCCTTCTTCAGTCTTCTATGCTTTCTAGTCCTTCTAATTCCACTGGTCTGTGGCCATGGTTATCTGCAAGATCCACCTGCTCGTAGCAGTGCATGGTTGTATGATCCTGCTTTTGAACAATGCTGCACATATTCAAATCATATGGAAATGTTTTGTGGCGGACTGCAGCATCAGTGGAACCAGAATGGTACGACTACTAGCAGTACCAGCATCTCTCACATACATGTCGTCGTTCTAGGAGGAAAATGCGGTATTTGTGGTGAACCATACGACAAAACAGACAAGGTGTGGGAAAAAGGTGGGAGCATGTATTTGGGAAAAACGGTTCGAACATATCGAAAAGGACAAACCATCCGTGTATCCGTCACTGTACGTTGCACGAAGCGACGTTCTACTTTTAATAGTCAGATGAATCCTTAATTTAGTTAACCGCCAATCACAAAGGTTATTTTGAATTTCGTCTGTGCAATGTCGACGGCTGGTCATCAGATGCGACACAAGCATGTTTAGATCAAAACGTGTTAGAATTTGCCGATGGCACACATCGTTTCAAAAACGTTGGCGATTACGGTAGCACAAAAATTGATTTGGACGTCAAGCTACCGTCGAATGTTAAATGTGATCATTGTGTATTTCAATGGAAATACACCACGGGTAACAACTGGGGAACAGACCCACAAACAGGTCAGTCGTGTGGTGGATGTGGCGCTGAGAACGAAACATTCATGGGATGCGCCGACATTCGAATTGATGGTGAAGGAAATGGAAATGAACCGACAGAAAAACCTCAGCCACAGACAACAAGAAAGACACAAGAGCCACCACAAGTTGTGACTCAAACAACAACACGGTAACTTATCTATCTTATTATGTTTCAAGCTGAACATTTGTCTTTTTCAAGTTCTCCGCATGTTGACAACGGTGGAGTATGGCAGGCTGACACACCTTACAAAGTCGGAGATATAGTCACGTACCAAGGTCAAAGCTATATATGTATAATTGCTCACCCAACACTCAGCAATTGGCTACCACCCGATGTGCCAGCTGTATGGCAACGTCTGAACAGAAAAAAGTGGTAAATTGACTTCGAATGTGTCTGATCTGCTAGTACATTTTATTCGTATTTTGTTTCTAGATTATTGAATCCTAAATATTAGCCACTGTTCAACCAAAAGTATCGAACTTTTGGTGCACATACTCGTGATAATAGCAGGTTTGTCTTTTGAGTTGTAGTTATTTTTGATGAATAAGTTCTTTTAATAAAAATGTGATATAATGACCGAGTTTTAGGGATAATGAAAGAAGTACAGGCAACTGATCGGTGAAGATCTTCAAGCCAACTGCTGTTGTTTCGAATCGGGTCAACCAATGAAGGTCTTAATTAATTACCAAACGTGACACACTGTTTTTGATTGTGTGATTCTTTTTGTTGAAGCGTTGCCTAAGAAAAGGAGCAAACGATTCTGATTAGGCTTTCTATTAAAATATATTGACGTCTGTCGAGAAGGGGTGATTCACGAGCGTACCAGCGATCGAGTGCGCTGCATCAGTCACAAATAATCGGAGCTAATTGGAAGTATTTTCGACAACTCTGTATTGAAGCGTACCTTAATCACTTGCTGTTTTCATCACACTGATCGGGACATAAACGGGATTGAACGTATTGAAAACTTCGGAAGCCTTTATGACTGGTTGTAACTTCGGCGTGGTCTAACGCTCTTTTATACCCTATCTGATGGTATTAATTGACAGAAAAGTAATGTTCTAACTATAATTTCTCTGGTGAGCGCGGCCGATCGACAGATCTACCTGCACAGAAGAAATAAAATTCAAATTCAAGTGGAAGTAAATGGAAATGAAGTGTGAAGCAGAAAATAGCGAAAGATGTTCAGAGTAATTAATGAACCGTCAGGAATGGCGTCTTGGAATGATCCATCTTCCCTCAATAATCCGAAAGTTGTTGGTTTTTCTCAGCGAGAAAGAAGACAGACGCTTGGAATACTACCTCTGCGACGATTCTGGGATCCATTGTCTCAAGTCTAAAACTCTAAAGTTCTCCACCTCTCAGTTCAAGACGGAAAAAGCACACTTCGCCGCTCCGTACAGTGGCCCCGGTGGCTAATAGTGCTGTGGACTTCAGTAAAGTTAAGAAATTTTACTCATCTGAAACCTGAATCAAAGGCTTCTGTATTAAGAAAGTGCTCTTGCTCTGCCTATTTACTCAATTCTGACGAATCGACTGTGAACGTTTGCGGATGCAACATTAGAAAACCTACGTGACTAAAAAATTCAACAGTTACTATATATTCAGAATAAGGTTATCTAAATGTAAGTTTCGTTAAATAATGGCTACTTCAACACAACATGTTGAGATTAGTACTCTCCCGAGAGATATGTTAACGTATACCAGTAACAAATTTATTCGTCTTGTCCAACAACTAGTTGTTGAACAAGACGAATAAATAAATAAGCTTTGAGATGAGTAAAATTCCTTAACTTTACTAAACTCCACAGCAATACTAGCCACTGGAGCACTCTACGGAGCGGCGAAGTGCGCTTTTTCTTTCTTGAATTTACTCCCCCATTTCTGTATAAAAATGCAAGAAAAAGAAAGTTTTCTGTTTAATAAGGGATACTATATTTTTATCTCTTAACCAAAAGAACCAGATAGTTTTGCAACGTGGTGAGGGGCTCTACATAATATTTCTAAACAAGTTTCATACAAATATTTCAAAAGTACTTAAATTCTCTATTTACCGACGTGTTATTTAATGTAAATATGTTTTTTCTTCATTATGAAATTAATTAATTACAGGAGACATAGTGATGATGAAAAAATTCAACTTCTTGTGGCTTCCTTTATCACACTAATCATTGTATAACAAAAATCTATATCATCATTGTATAACTATCTAACGGAAATCTGTAAAATGCTACGTTAATGCAGACATAGTTCATTAGTGACTCACTCTCATGCTCTGCACGTCCCCCCCTTCCCCCCCCCCGCTGNTTGTGACGCTCTAGCAGCCGGTTTTTTTACGCCATACTGAGATTTGCTTCTTACGACAGCAGCAGTAATGCATTCTTCGAGTTTCTGAATTTACAGCATCCGCACTTTTAGTCACTAAGAACCGCTTGCGTCTGAATCGGCTAATACACTGCATATTTATACTAACGTAGAATTCTATACATTTCCTAGATTTCTTTTTTGAGAACAACTCGGACGTTTCATGTTTTAGCTGTGTAATAGTTACCCTAGAATTCAATATGAAAATGTAGAATTCTGTAGAATGTCTGAAATGTAGGAAATCTGCCATTGCTGTTCATTTTAAGGTAAGTTTCTCAAGGTGTAAAACGCTTAAAATAAGAACATGAGCTCACCAAACTCACGATAACCCGAATTTCAAAAAATCAACCGATGGCTGCTGACTAGTAAGTAAATCCCGTAAGGAAGTATAAAAAAATCACACACAGCATCGACTATAATAATTCTTTTAACTTGTACTTTCCTTTTCTCTCTCTCTGTTCATCGTGTATAAATACCTTGCACATTTTGAATTCAGAAGATTCTATTCATTCTCTCTAGCACGTGATTTATAAGTGATCTGCAGTAGAAAAGTGTATACTTACATAGCTCAATCTGTTGTTTTACTTTGGTATTATTGTCTAACGGAGTTGCCGTTTACTTCCTTTGTGTCACTATATGATCAACCTCAGTCGCGCTCATCTATTATGTAAAATTAGTGTATTTAGCTTAGGATTTACATTCTCCTTTTTTTAGTGGCGTTTCTCCTTTCAAAATTTTACGAGTCCTCCTTAATTCCTCTTTTTTTAGAAAAATTTCAGTACAAAGCCAGTCAGTCCCCTGGAAAACCAAGTCAGGTATCTGGAAAACCAGACCATAAAATTCTTCAATCGCATCTGGGATTCTGACATTAGCCATTTTATAGAGCATATCAAGTTAAACATGTCTAGGTATTTTTATAACTATTCGATTAGTTTTGATGGAGTCAGAAACTTTTAGTTCAAGTATTCCTTAAAAGCATACATATATACCTGCATACACTAGTGTTTGAAAAATTTAAAACTTAGTTAAAACTAATCGAATAGTTATAAAAATAGCTAGACATGTATAATTTGATATGATCTATAAAACAGCTGACGTCAAAATCTCAAATACGATTGAAAAATTTCATGGTCTGGTTTTCCAGATACCTCACTTGGTTTTCCAAAACTCCCACCATGGCTCATGATAGTACACTTGGTATATTCCAACAATATCATAGTGGGCGAGAAATTCGGCCGGCTTTCCGAAAGAAAGGGACAAAATCGTTTGCCGTTGATCGAATCGATGATTTGGGCTCTCACGAGATCATCTACTATAAAAGAACGGAAGCTTGTCTGGAGCTCGCGGTTGTATTAATTTGTGGTAGACACTACCTAGTAGTTATGATAGAATTCTTAAGTCTAGGTCATGTGTGGTTATGGAGTTGTACGTAGGTTACATTGACAGTTTCCTAGATGCTGGAATTTGTGCATTTTCGGGCTCTTTGCAAAAATTGAATATCTCAGCGATGCAACAAGTTTAAGATCTGCGGTTTTCGCCGAAATTCATGAAAATGTTTGCTTTAAAGAAGTGCACTATGTTGGAAGAAATCTGAGATGGTCGCTTGAGCAACATTATACGATAATATGTCGTGGCTTATCTTTAATGGCTCGTAACCACTTTTGATACGATTTCTCCACTTGATCCCACTTTTTTCTTCCTTTTCATAATTTTCAAGAACCGTACATTTTATATTTTTAAAGTAATCGAAGCTTTTTGTAAGTATGATTACTAACTGAATGCAAGAATATGAAAAAAACGTTTATTTGTTCTATTCATGATTCAGTTCCGACATTGATAGAAGACCCCATTGGGCGACAGGGCGAAACACGCCAATTTATTTTATCAAAATAATCAAAAGATACAAGCATAAAACTCGCTAATACATCGTTTGGTAGTAGCCCCACTGATGTCGAGCACATGCCGGTATAGAACCGAATGGGCTTGTGTCGAAACATTGGGAGACTACAAGGAAGGAGCAGATACCTGGAAGAACTCCGAGGGGCATGTGTCCTTGCTTGGCAGTCGAAAAGTTAGTAAGTGTTTATGTATGCAGAGCTATGGTAATTGTTCAGAAGAGCTAATTTCTGCTTGATAATGATGTTGTGGGACCAACCAGAGGCTGGTGTGATTGTAGAAAAGAAAGAGCTGGAAACCATTGATAGCGTAGGATCAGCTGGAAATTGAGACGTCTAGAAGAGGCGCTGGGGAGGTGGCGGGTTGCTTAAACTAAGTTTCTTCTCACTAGAAAATCAGAAATTAAGACAAATATAAAAATTTTTGTTCTTCAACGAAATTTTCATTCCAGGAATGCTTGACTACTATAAAATGACGGTGGCGCTTGCTGCACTTCTCATGAACTGAAATTCGATACTTCCTCGAATTATCAATTCATGACTCAGTTTCGACATTGGTAGGCGACCCCATTGGGCGACAGGGCGAAACACGCCAATCTATTTTATCAAAATAATCAAAAGATACAAGCATAAAACTCGTTAATACATCGTTAGGTAGCAGCCCAAGACAGAGAGAGATAGAAGCCTCGAATCGACGGCCAAATGATGTTAGGAAGGTTGTGCTAGTGTTTGTTGAGCCTTTTGAATCGTTTGGAGGTGTAGTTCAATATAAACTTTAAAGGAATCGGTAAGCCAGCGTCCAAGAATTTGAATGATGTATGGTGGTAGACCACACATAGCTGCCGTGGTGGCAGCACCTTTCCGAAAAGAGTGAATAGGAAACGGCATCAAA